ATGCTAAACACCATGAAGATAGTGCTGGATGATGATGGGTTGCAAGCATCATTACTTTTGAGTTCTTGTTAGAGTTGGAAACTCTATTAGTTATATTTAGGAGTTCGATTTTAAATATTAGTTTGAGAAAAAAGAAAAGAAAAAGTATCTTGACTAAGGGTGGACAATTTAACATGAACTAAATCAAAACCAGAGGTTCCGATGGTTCTAGAAAAAATATTTCAGTTTCTAATCGATTTGCTTCTCTGCATACGGAGGAAAATGTTCATGAATTGGACAAATTCGGTGAAGAATTACTACAAGAAGTTGAGGGGACCTAACCCATAAACCAGATTGGATAGGAAAAACCTTATGGTACATTGACTATGAATTGAAACTAAGAACCAACCGAGTCCTAGTGGTTCTAGCTCTTGAACCAAAATTGTGGATACCTAACTCTAAAATTGAATTTGTCTGTTATTATTTTAAAGTTTTATTTTTTATAGTTCATTCACCCTAACTGAATAATTCAATGGGAAGCAAATGAAATGATTGGATGGAAAGAAAAGTCCACAATTTTGATTATTATGCTATTTTCAGTTGAATGAATTTACGTAGTTTCTAGCATTTGTAGAATCTCGTACTTTCTAATTGCTGATTTCTAGTTTTTGGTTTGTTTTTTAAGTATGTAATCTGGTGTTTATGTCTACTAGATATTAAATGTTATTTGGCCACATATTTTGCTACATATTTGATGTTATCAAGTTAGATATTGAATATTAATTGGTAGCATATTTTCAATGAAATGAGGCAGTGTTGAAATATGTATTTGATGTCATGTTTTACTTCTATTTCTAATAAATATTGAGAAGATAATTCATGTTGTCAGCTCGAGATTTTTTTTTTTTTTTTTTTAAATGTTATGGATAGAATTGAACCATGTGATTTGGGTTCGCGTTTGGGTTGGAGTTCGAATTTGGTGTCAGTAATTTGGTGTTTGTCACTCCATCAGCCCTATATTTTCCAACAACGGTCATCTAATTTTCTTACAATCAATGTTGCTCGCCAATATATGTAGCCTCTAAATTTACTTTGATCAAGATTTTTTATTTATTGTTCAAAATGTAACTTGTTCTTGACGACTTAGCTAACTAGTTTATCTTGTTACTATTGTTGATTGTTAATGCATCTTGTTTACATGAAAGAGCTTTGTGACAAAAGATTGCTAATTAAGAATGCACGGTTTCTGGTTAAATGTGCAGAAATGCAAATCAAAGGTGTAAAAAAGAAATGGTGATTATCCCTTAGTGTGTGTCTCTTTTCAATCATAATTTTTCTTGGAAACTTTTTTACCTTAGTAAATTTGAAATCCGGCGTACAATTTTCGCAAATTTAAAATCTCCATCTTCCCCCAAAATAAGTTTAGTAAAGATAAAAAGAAATTGGTTATTTATTTAAAGATCCCCCAATTTTCTATAAAATAATGGACTATACCAGAACTCACTAGTCCATCGAAAAATTTTATGGAAAAATTACATAAAACCTTACATTTTAAGTATATTATTCAAAACTAAAGAAAATAAATTCTAATTTCATAAATCAGGAGATAATTAAAAATTATTAAATTAATCAATACAAAATTAATATGAAAAATATCTAATCGAATCTTTTCACCCACCCTACCTCCTTCCATTCCAACAAATTTCCCAATCCCTAATCATTTTAACATATCCCGTCTCTCTGTATATCTCTCCATTCTCTTCTCTCTCTTAACCACACACGACCATCAATGCGCCATCATCAGTGGGCTCAAGACACCTTCGGCCGGTCAATATCTTAAATCTGCGATCACTGAAGGAAAAATGAAAAAAGCACCAACATGCGATGTGTAGTCTCCGATTTGCAAGAAAAAGGCCCCTCGGGCGGTGCTGCACGCAACACGTGAAAAAAATGTGTACTACGTATACATTTTACCCTATATATTTTCAATAATTTTATTTGTTGATTGTCAGTTTCTAAGTTGTGATGTGATATTTGAATTCAAAATGCTCAAAAGGGATAGAATATTACCAAAATCTAAATTCATGTTCTTAAGTTGTAGATACAAAGTTGTCGTTACCTTTTAAACTTGAAACTTTCAATCAATCCTAATTAGTATTTAAAAGCTCGATTTTATAGCTGGCTAAAAAATTCCAACAATGAACAAAATTTCTTTTCGAGTTTTATGTAATTTATTATACCCTTGTAGGTTGAGAAGTGTTTGATACCTCTATCTACTTTAGAAATATACTCAGAAGTTGTTAGCTTTCTTGCTTTGTGTCCTTGGAATAATGTTACCAAGAAAAGGATTTTTGAATTTTCTTGCTGTGGATGTTTTATTGAACCTATGGGATTTCAAACATAATTTCTTGAGCCAAGAATAACACTCATCTAGTCAGCAGCATTTGAAGGTGCTTTGGTTTTTGTTTAACATAATTCAAAACTTTCAGCGAACTAAAGTAGCCCTCAGGTCTGAGGGAAAATAATTGATTTTCATAGATTAATTTCACTATCTTATTTATAGATCTTGTTTCAATTTTATTTTTCTTTCAGAGGGACTCCAATGCAAGACTTGTGGTAAACCCCCAGAGGGTCATTTTTTCTATTATGCACATCATAACAAGCAACTAACTATTAAAGCTAGCATCTTCCTGATGACAAAGGCCTGGTGAAATTGAAGTAAAGCTTTGGATGTAGAGTTGCTGTGGTCAATGTAGTCATAGATGTCCTATGTTGTTCTATTGATAATAAATGATTTTGATTTCAAGGATTTGGTTGTAATGTATCGACTTGAATAATATCACATAACTATTCACTATTTGTCATATGCAAACAATAATATTACAAATTTGGTCGATGCCCCTGCTGTTATGTCACAACCTATATGCCATTAGAATGGTCATAGCACAAATTGCATTGTGTGGATACTGTTTAGCTTTCAAACTTCTAGAGAACTACTGATAAAGGTAATGAAACTGGAGTTTTTAACCAGAAAACATCAGTTTCTTCTGTCATATGCAGTGAAGGCATGAACCAGGTAAGAAGAGTGGGAGTGGGGTGGAAAGTGGGTTGGATTAGAATGGGGTGGGAAGGGAAGGAAGCGGAGTGTTTGTGACCAATTATTTGGTTGATTGTGACATCGATAAAATATATTATTTGTGATCAATAAATAATATGTGACCTAAAAATTCTAAAATTTTGATTAAATTTGCAATCGTGATTTACTATTTGTTAAGTTGTGACCAAATAATTGAATAATTTGTGACGAAGAAATAACTTTTACTAATTAGTTTGATAATTTGTGACTGTGAAATAAGCTATGATCTATAAAATCTGTGATTTGTGCTAAAAAAAAGCTAAGTTCAAAGCAACTATTTCAATAAATTATGATCGAGAAATAACTTGTGACTAATTAGCTTGTAACATAAAAATATGTGATTGTGACTTAATTCATAATTGCGACCTCCAATTTGTGCCTTTGTCACCAATTAATAGGTCACATTCAACACATTATTGGTCACAATCGATCACAGTTAGCACAAACTTGGTCACGGAAGGTTACAGTTAACATATAAACGATCCCAAACTTTTAAATGTAAATAGATTTTATCACAAACATTCACTATCACCAGATGTGATTACAACTCACTATTAACATAGATTTGGTCACAGATGATCACAACTAAGACATACCTAGTTACAGAGAATCACAATGAAAATATACTTGATCATAGTGGATCACAATTAAGACAGGTCTAATCACAAATAATAGTAGTCTACACAAATATGGTCACAAACAATAAAAGGTTATATAAATCAATCACAAATAGATACTATTAAATACAATTTGGTCACATACAGTAACAAAACACAGCCAATATATCACAATCAATATGCATAAATTGGCAATACTTCGTCAAGCAGATTACATTCCCTCGATAACAAACTCGATAACAAGCTGTAACTCTTTTTCCAATTAATTTCTCCCTCTAAATGAAACACATATTCCCAAAATGTATGTCCCGAGTATAAAACAAAGAAAAAGGGTAAAGAAATCTGCCCATAGAAAGAAAAAAAAATTTACAACTCAATCCACATGAATGTTTTGTACCAGATCTTAGAACAGGAAGAAAACTTCTCATACAATTTCAAATTCAAGAAGTGGACGCATCAGCATTACCTATGATCCAATCTCAGTCAATAATTCTCCACTCTAATAACCCTTTTATCCCCTCAAATCTTCACTTGTGATTATGGCCCATTCCCCACCGCATAGTACCCCTCCAACCGTAACAATCGAATACAAAATTCATACTCTTTTTCAGTTTTTAGCCCAACAATTCCCCACTCTAATAATTCTTTCATACCCTCAAATCCTCATTTGATTTTGGCCCCCTTCACCAACAAACATAGCACGAAATTCATGCATTATATTGAATCAAGCACTATAACCACTGTAGCAAATCAGAGCTGTCCAACATGTGCCACAATCATGCTTGATTTTGATTTCAAGATTCTGAATATGAAAGTTACGCTTGATAACTTGTGATTTCATTTCAAGATTCTCACTCTCCCCCGGAGAAATTATAGTGATTTTGGAGAGTTTTCAAAAATCGGGTGTGTAGAGAAAGAGAAATAGTGTTTGATTAAGAAAGAAAGAGAGCGTGTGTGAGAAGTATCTTTTAAATAATGAAAGAATACCTATTTTTTAGAATCTAATTTTAAATAGTATATTTTATTTAATTTCAATATCTTATAATTATATATTAATATATTGAAATTTCCACCTGATTTATGAAAGTAGTTTGTAAGATTGTTAGTTGTGAAATGTAATTTTTATAGTCTAGTAATTGTGTATTTTTCCCAAATTTTATTCACTTTATCATATCTAATGGGCTCGGCTAGAATTGGTTAATGGGCTAACGCTAATTTTAAAATTAGTCCATCTAGAAAAATTAGACTAAACATATTGTGGGGTTGTATTCGTTTCTTCTACCATCTCCATCTAGGGTTTGTAGTTCGTCCCCTTCCTGTTGCTCTCAAATGACTACATACAAATCAAAAATAGTTGAGGAAGCTTCTAAGGATTTCCTGTGCGGTCTGTTGTTGGATGAAAATCAACCAATTTTGGAGCGATTCAGAGCTGTCGGCGTGAGCAGTCTCTGCGGCAGTCCTGGTGTCCTTGACACCTTCGTCAAAGGTAAATATGTACACTGGATAAAGAGATGCAACTGGCCGAATTTTATTATTATTATTATTATTATTATTATTATTATTATTATTTGCTTTCTTCAGCTATGTGTTGATCGGGAATCAGAAATATCCTCTGTGGGAAAATTTTGTGTTGTTGTGTGGGTTAATGACTTGATGAATTGAAGATGTCATTTGAACTCGTTTTTATATATGTTTTTTCTTTCTGTTTTAGCAATGAGGGATAATTCAAGCATTCTGGGACATGAGGCCGCAAAAAAATTGGGTCGAATGCAAGATTCTGATGCTATCCCCGCATTACAAGCTGTTCTAGGCAATCTTTCCTTGCATCCCATTGTTCACCTACATGTATCATGCTTTTGAATTTGGATAATGTCTATTTCTGTGTTTTCTTACTCTGTTTATTTAACAGGCTGCAGAATCTCTTGGTATTGACACACTAAAAGTGCAGCCCAAATCGAATAGTCCAAGGAATGAAGCTCAATTGAGGAATTTTCAAATCAAATAGTCCAAAGAATGAAGTCCAAATTGGGCAATTCAGGATAAAGGCCCAGAGTTATTAATGAATACAGTGGAAGCCCACGAACACAGTAACATCATTGCCCAAGCTTGCAAGACGCCCAAGATCTGAGGGAATGGAGTGCCTTACAGTCGCCCAGAGCGATGACCCTGTTCTCGCCCATATCTTCGAATCGTCCAAGATCTTAGCAAACATAAAATGTTATGGTTATCCAGAAATGCAGTTATTGAAACAGTTATTAAGTAACCTTATCACATTCCACGATTCAAGGAACCCAGTTGAAGGCGGTTGAACGACAAAGAGTAGTGGCAGCAGTTAGAGATGGCAGTTTCACGACAAATTAGTCACCATAAAGAAAGTGGATATTATAAAGCAATCAAGCAGTTTCCAAGCGGTTTGTCACAAAGAAATCATCAAGAGAATATAAAAGGAAGAGAAGACATAGAGAAAGGACTCGAATCAAACACTCTCAAACAGAGAATATGTAATTTCAATTTCTTAGTTTAAACTTAAACATTTCTTTCAGTACTTGTGTGCTTGCGCCCCTTGGAGGCATTCTATTTAGTTCCAATCGTAAAGCATCGCCAATAAAATACCCATTTTTGGAACTTTGTTTTAAGAGATTTGTTCCTTACACGATCGTCTGATCCCTTTTTAATTGTTAGCGACTTCCCGCGCGAAACAATTTGGCAGGCCCAGTGGGACCTTGGTGTTTGGTGTTGAAAATACAAAAGGTAAAACAATATGCCTCACAAATCTGATAAGGAAGCAGCAAGTCAGGGAGGAGTCCAGTCTGTGATCGAGCGATATGAGGAGCAGCATAGCTCTCCACGAACAGAGGGACAGAGTCAGAGCAGTCACAGTCGTTACGAACCAATGACAGAGTTAAGTTCTCGAACCATGCGTGCATTACTTGGAGAACTCACACAGGATGTCGTTGAATAGGTAAATTTATGAAATATTCATAATATGGAAAGATTTACCCAGAATGGGAATGCACATTATGACAACATGGCCTAACAACTGAATACATTGAATGAAATAATGAATAAGTTAGTAGGCCAAATTTGTCAGCCAGTTGTGCCTTTTGCAAATTACTTTCAAACTAGGACAATTGTAGGACATAATCCCCCAGTCCTAAGTCCAAATCAAGGGATAAAACCATCTTTTGGTCTCTCTACTTCAAACCAGGGGGATGATGTAATGTCAAATCAGAATAGTGGTAATAGTACAGCCAACTTGGGGGTAACCTAAATGTAAGAGACAATGTCCTAAATAATGGACAGAATGCCCCACGTGTTAATGATAGAATAAATATTCGGGCTAATGGTAACAATAGCCCAAATCAAGGCAACTTTATTGCCAACCAAGGACCAAATATCAGGTCTCAAGCAAATCAACCGATCAACCAACCTGTAGGAATTCTATATGACCCTATCATCTTGTTGAGGAATCAAATTATGGAAATAGTACATGATCAGATGGCTTTTGGAGTACGTCCTGTCATTAGGTCGACTTACACAAAGTCATATCTTGATTGGGTAGACCAAGCATATCCATGGCCTAGAGGGTATAAAGTACCAGAATTCTTACTATTTACCGATTTAGGAGAGGTGTCTACTCTAGAACACATATGGCAACTCACACTGCAAAGTGGTGAAGTAACAGACTACCATAAAATGAGGCTGTTCCCTAGTTGTTAACAGGAGTAGCTTTCTCCTGGTTCATCAATTTACCAGCGAACTCTGTTCAAACATGGCAACAATTTGAGCAATTGTTCCATGCTCAGTTTTATAAGACCGAGTCTGAAGTTACTTTGACCGATTTAGCGAGTCTGCGTCAAATGCCAAACGAATGGGCAAAAGGTTTCCTTCAAAGGTTCAAGACAGCAAGAAGTAAATATTTTGTACCTTTGCCTAAAAAGGAATTTGTCAAAATCGCTCAAAATTGTCTAAGTTTTGATTTGAAAAAGAAATTCCAAGACAAGAAATTTCTTGATCTTTTTCAATTGAGCGCAAATGTGATTAGGTATGAACGATTAATAAGAGAAGAAGAGTAAATGAAGAATTCTAGCAAGGGGACTTATTATAGAAACCCAAATTTTGATGTTCATGCCATTAATGACGAATATTACGATCAAGTCGAAATGTGTTTGGCCGAATTAATTAAAGGAGATACGTATACTTGTCCTATAATAGCTAAACCTAGACCGTCGGGTAGGGATGAGCCTATAAAAGATGAAAACAAAAAGGCTAGAATGTTCTCATTCAATGTAATGAAAGCTGACCTTATATTTGATAAACTATATAAGGATAAGTAGATAAAATTGAGCGATAAACATAAATTGTCAACCCCTGAACAAGTTAAGGGTAAAAAATATTGTAAGTGGCATAACGTATGGTCACATTTGACTAACAACTGTTTAGTTTTTCGTCATGTGTTACAGGATGTCATTGAATTAGGACGAATTACGTTCGAGGACAAGAAGAACATGGCAGTGGATGAAAACCCTTTTTCCACAGCCACTTGGGGTGAACATGGTGACGACTGGTTTCAAAAATAAGTTGCCAAAATTCAAGTTAGTTATAGATGATGGAGAAGAAGACCCTGGGCCACATCCTAGTGTCTTTAAACGTATCAAAGGGAAGGAGCCCAAAATGGAAGAAAACGTTCTGTGTGCAAGATGCAAAAGAGAAGTGGGTGCAAATACAGAGAAACCAGGGATATGGCAGCATCATCATCGCCCTAGTTTTTTCTCAAACGCTCAACCTGGTAGAAGGCGAGGTACATCATTCTATAGGGGACCGCCTTTTGAGAGGCAGTTCAGGCTAGTAAATAATTGGAGAACATTCAGGCCACAACCTCGCCAACCAAATGTATGGCATTCGTTCCAGTATTAAAGCAGGAAGGGCGATACCCTTCAACGAGATGACTAGAACTCAATAAAGACGTTTTCAACGGAACTATGGACGAATGATGAGGCAACAACAGGGAATGCCACGTCCTAAAGCGCCTAAACTACTCGAGGTAGCCAATCAAAATGTTCTCAAAGACAGTGAAGAGACTGGTATAGGTAAATCATGGAAGAATTGCCAGAAACTTCTTCTGGGAGATCGAAGTTTGAGCGAGACAGAAGAGATGGAGAAGATCTAGATGAGCTCCTTACTATTCAGTTCAGTACGTTACCTCCTGTCATGGCTAATAATTACTTACCAGCCAATGAGTTCAAGAACAAAGAGAAAGAAGAAGAAGAAATGGAGGATAACGAAGAAGAAGCATGTGTGCTGGAATGTGAAGAAGGTCCAACTTCTAGAGGGGCCTACGATGATGAAGGGGATGATGGTATGACTGACATCGAAGAGGAAATTGATCTAGAAGCAGAAAGAAGAAAGAGAGGGGTATGGCACAATACTTTATTAAAGCAACTACATCGAGAGGGGGTTCGTGAAGTGGACTTGTTGGGGGAACTGTCTGGTCGTTCTTTCGATTATTACGTGCTGTACGGGACGCCCAAAAGGAAAAAGAGAGTTCCTCGCTCTGAAAAGTATGGATCACCTCAAAGAATAATGCCTCCTCCCACAGGTTGGATAATCGAAAAAGAAGCATTAGAAAATAGTAAAAAAGAAATTCAAGAAACAGAAGTTCAGTGCGACATACTGCACGTTGACTTATCACAAAAGTATAACTCGATAGAGGACAAACAGGAAGTGGAAATAGATGCTGCCGAAAAAGTTATTTTTAAGAAACCAGCCATGAAGTTAACTAAACACTTGAGGCTATTGTACATTAAAGCTATAGTTGACGGCATACCTGTGGCAAAGGTACTTGTTGATAATGGAGCAGTTATAAACATCATTCCATTTAGGATGATGAGGAAATTCGCAAAGACAGAATGTGATATGATTCCAACGGAAGTCATCCTTACAAGTTTCAATGGAAGAACAACTTCAACTAAATGGGTTATGCCATTGGACATAACTATAGGGACAACTACTAGGACCACGGTCTTCTTTGTAAGAGATGGTCCTACCAGTTACAATGTGTTATTGGGAAGAGATTGGATACACGGAAGTCGCTGTATACCCTCATTGCTCCATCAATGCCTGATTTTTTGGAATGATAAGGGTGAGGCAGAAGTGGTGCAGGCTGATCATAGGCCTTTTGTCGCAGAAGCAAACTCAGTGGAAAGGTTCATGTACGAAGGAAATTATGGACCTGTCAGAGTAGTCCAAGATGGAGAAGAAACTCAAATTGTTGCACAGAGTGAAGAGCCGTTTTCGGTAGATGCACTCACTGAAATATTCAGTCAAATGAGGCCAAACATAGTGGCCCTAGAAGAGCCAGTAATTGGCAAAAGAGTAATCAAGGAGTTTTAAATGAGTTGTAAGCAACAAAGGCAAATGACCGATGTTCAGGCCTTCAAAGCCAAATTAATGGCTTTCAATAAAGAATGTAAGGACAAGACGAAAGAAGAAGCAGCCTTGGAAGCATTGAGAGACAAATTGGCAGTTTTCGATTTGGAACAAAATATTGGCCGAGAAGTCAGTAAGGTGGATTGTTTAGAAGAAGAAGTGCCTATAAGAAAATTGGACGATGAAGTAATGAGAATCACCCAGCCTAGATACGCTCAAGCATAGGACCCTTTGATTAAAGTGAATATTGGCAATGAAGGAGAAGATCGCCCAATATTCGTCTGCCAAAAGCTCGATCAAGAGGTTAGTGATAAATTAATCGCTTTATTAAAAGAATATAAGGATTGTTTCGCTTGGGAATATGAACATATGCCTGGTTTAGATAGAGGTTTGGTGGAACATAGATTACCAACCAAGCCAAATTTTAAACCTCATAAACAACCTCCTAGGCATTTTGCTCCTAATGTACTCCCTAAGATTAAGAAAGAAATAGAGCGATTATTAAAAGCAAACTTTATTAAAACAGCTTGATATGTCGAATGGTTGTCCAATATCGTGCCAGTACTAAAAAAGAATGGTAAATTAAGGATGTGTATAGACTTTAGAAATTTAAATATAGCCACACCCAAAGATGA